GCAAGAATTAGCGGACAAGGCCAACAGTCTGTTTAGTCCTTCAGGGCTAAGAGTTTAGGGTTCAGGGCTTCGGGGCTGAGAGTTTAGGGCTCAGGGCGAGTCTTGGGGTCAGGGCTTAGATTAAAGGGCCCAGGGCTTAGAGTTTAGGGTCCAGTGCTTCAGGGCTTAGAGTTTAGTCTTAGTGTTAGAGTCTTAGAGTTTAGGGCTCTAGGCTTAGAATTTAGGGTTCTAGGCTTAGAGTTTAGGTTTCAAGGCTTAGAGTCTAGGGTTCAGGCTTTAGAGTTTAGGGTTCAGGGTTTAGAGTTTAGGGTAGACTTTAGGGCTCCAGAATTATTAGTTTAGGGTATAAGTTTCTGAATGATGTGGGACCCGATGGGCGGGTGGGTATACTGCTATTGCTTGGGAGATCTGCTCGTTAAATGAATGCTTGAACTTGAGATGCCAAACCCTTAACCCTAAACCCCAACCCCAAACCCTAAACCCTAAATCCTAAACCCTGAACCCTGAACCCCTAAACCTTAAACCCTAAACCGCCTTTGTGGGCTCCTTGAATTTAGGGCCGTAGTACAACGGCGACCCCACAAATGAAGGTATATGTCACTTGCGTTTAGGGTTTGGGGTGTAGGGTTTAGGAGTACTGCACCCACCCAGTAACAACCGATGATAGGGTTAATTTCATAGGAGTACACAAAGCGTCGCCCCAGTTTTTTCCACTTCCATGAAATGTCCACTTTTCGTGCGGCCAACGAATGCGGCATGCAGCAGTAAATCAAGTTAGACATCTGAAGTGTTTAATTCGAAACGAGATTAATTGGAGGTTTTGAGGATATGCTCAGCATGACATGATTTCAGGCTTACATAATAAGGGATTTTGGTAACCCCAACCCCCAACATTAGGACCCTATGACTATCATATGATGGTTATAGGGTCCTAATTTTGGGGGTTGGGGTTACCAAAATCCCCTTATTATTACAGGCCCAACATATCCCTGAAGGCGACCCTGCAATCCTCGCAGGCCTCGCCTCGAGCGCAAGAACGCCGACTGTCTGCCAAAGGCCTACACAGCGAGGCATGCCAGGCACATTGTGTCCTACAATGCACCTCTGACCACTATATGAGTCTTAGTCTAAACTCCTCAAAGGGGGGGTTATATAGGGAGTATTATAGGGGGTATTAAGGGGGATACTAGGAGTTTAGACTAAGGCTCATATGTCCCTATATACCCTTATGCACCCTAGATATGGTATATCCCTAAACATCTGCTAGCCAGCTTCATAAACAGGCCTATTTGTCAACCCGTCTAGATGTAGAGAGTGCATGCAAAATTTGGCTGAGTAGCCTGGGTGAATGCCTCTTGGACATGCCAGGAGTGAACTCAGTCTATCCTTAGAGACAAACTGGAGCAACAGGGCAGAAAGTCAGGTACTAGCACGATTGCTACTACTATTACTGTTACTATTATAATTACTATTATTCTTACTATTACTATGACAGGCTGCGTTGCAGCCATGCCATCGCAAAATGTTGCAAGCCGAGTTGCAGATAGCACCTGGAACAAGCGCTCAACATCCTTCCAGCAAAAGGATCTGAGGTGCACCACCGCAAAGGCACAAGAAGTTCTATGATATGCAACTTCTGCATCATCTGAACTACCTTCTAAACTCCTTGAAGGGGATAATATGGGGGACTACTATAGGTTCAGGGGGATACTAGGAATTTAGAATATAGCTCATCTCAGCGCCAAGGTCTTGATGGAAACGTTCACTTAGCACCCGGTCCTTGACATCTGCGACCTCTCAGGCCCAGGCGCTGGGCTTAAGCAAGCAATGCTAGTTGACGAGGCACGGAAGTGGAGCTTCCATTCAAAGAGGGGCCCTAGTATAGACTCCGGAAAAACTAGAAGCCTTAATGTGGGGACCCTCAATAAGGTACCCCCAGTCTTGGGAAACCCCCCAGTAGGGCATTCTTAAGCTTGACCAAGAAAAAAACTCCTAGGGCTCGTATCTAACATCCTCTGAGCTCGTGACCCGTGCAAAGGGCAGAGCAAGAAGCACCTGCTTGGAGATACCTAATACTTGGGGGGTCAGGGGGGCTTAGTAAGTAGTTTAATAATTGGATAAATGGGGTTACTATATGGGTTACAGGGGTTATTAACCTACTTGCTAACTGTCCCTGGCCCTCCAAGCGGTGCTTACAGAGGAGTGCGGGAGTGAATATAGGGGCTATTGTAGGGATATATAATGGGGACTATATACCCCAAACCCTCAACCCTAAATTGATATAAGCATTATTCTGAGGATCCACTCCCCCACTCTCCCTTAAGCACAAGTAAGGATATCGGGCTACTATCGCCCTTCAAATGGGTTTAGGATACTGGGAACTCTCTTGACTTTGTAAGTCTACTTAGTAATAAGGTTACGGGGCTTGTAGAGGTTACTGGACATGGCAACTAAGTTTACTAGGTCTGAAGAGCCTTCAAGTAGGGCTCAGCCACACATGAGCCGACGCTGAAACTCTTCTTTCCCAAAACAGTCTCAGATCCGGGGTATCGGTGTTCGTGTCTCCCATCGCTACACACAATTCCTGCAATACCCCTAGACCTATAACAGAAAATGTCACCGTCAATAGTTCCTCGGGTTACACGACGTCAGAAAAAATACTTCTTGAGAGGATGGGAGATTCGCTATTAACTTAATGGGGTATCGGTGTTGGAGTTTCAGGGTTGCACCGGGGTTGCTGAGCTTGCTATATTCGAGAGTGGAGGCTGATTCTTGCATGACTTCAAGTACTTTAAACCTTGGGAATTATGGTATCACAGTTTACTAAGGTCATCAGGATTTTCAGCATCAACCGTACGGCTAGCGGTAGAGTTGTAAATGAGGCGGAAATTATCACAAGGCGCTCGTGGTATCCTTACAAATTCCTTTACAATAGCCCATGATCATCTCAACATTCCCGCTAATACCGCGAGAAAGCCCGGATGCCCGATGCAAGCCCTTGACCACAGAAGTCCTATACGCCCTATGTGTAGCGACTTAGCCCACTGGAAAGCCATGAAATTCCTGCATTGCTTGAAATGAACCTGTCCGTCCCCCTTGCCCATGTCAAAGAATCTGTGCGGGCCGACCACGCTCAAGCAGAGTGTTGGACGATTCCTACATCTATCTGACTGGGTTTAGGGCTACAGGGTTTAGGGCTTAGGGTTTAGGCCTATAGGGTTTCTAGTACAACGTAAACCACGAGCCCCACACCCTCCTCAGGTCCATGCTGTTCACAATTCATGATTATCATGACCCTCAGCACACTAAACCCTGGAAATCATGTCTCCATAGTGTACGAGGTTCATGCAGGACTTGAGTACCAACGGTCTCTAGAACATTGACAATTTTGTCCCGTTTTCCATGGCATGTTTCATTGTTCTTTATCAGAATCTCCATTATTGGCGGGATATGCTCCTGAATCCTACACAATGAGATACATCCCTCAAGAACCCTGCATAATTATCTTTATACAATCCTAGCTATGCCTCTACAACCCTGCATATCCCAATGTACTCCCTCTATAATCCTATGTACCCCTACGTACGTATATATCCCTATATGTCCCTATTAAATCCCCCCGTGAATAATCCCTATATAATTCCTATATCTCTCTCCATGTATGTCCTTACGAACTCCTATACATAACCCTATAAACCCTAAACCCAAAAAACCCTAAACCCCAAACCCCAAACCCTAAGCCCTAAACCCTCAGAAGTACAAGCTGCAAGCCTGCCGCAGCGAGCCGCCGCGAAAGCAGAGGCCGAGGCCGGCGGCGAGCCACAGCAGGCCGCGGTTCGGGCGCAGGGAGTCCAGGATGTCCATGTTGCATGTAGGGTTTAGGGTTTAGAGTTTAGGGTTTAGGGTTTGGGGTTTAGGGTTTGGGGTTTTGGGTTTAGGGCTTAGGAATGTCCATGTTGCATATGGGTTATAGCCTGAACTTTATTAGGATAGTATATAACCCCTTTATTTAGGGCTTAGGGTTTAGGGTCTAAACTCCTTGAAGGAGGGTTATATTAGGGTATTATAGGGTTTGTAGGGGGGATACTAGGAGGATGTCCGTGTTGAATATGGGGTTTAGGTTTTTAGTGTTTGGGGCTTATAGGGTTTAGGGGTTAGGGGTTAAGAGTTTGGGTTTAGGGTTTGGGGTTTAGGTGTAGGGCTTAGGGGCATACGGCCCTAAACCCTAAACCCAAAGGATGTCCATGTTGCAGAGCTTCTCTAAAAAAATGGGGCATCATCTACGAGCCACATGCGCCTCAGGCTTGCCACGTAGCTCCGCCTGTTGGATACCGGATAGGGTTTAGGGTTTCGGGTTTTGGTCTCAAAGGTAACCCCTGAAGGGTTTAGGATTTAGGGTTTAGGGTTGCATTACTTAAAGGGTTGTCAATACTGTAGGGGCTTCAGGGTTTAGGGTTTAGGATTTAGGGTTAGGGTTTAGGCTTTTGGGTTTAGGGTGTAGGGAGAAAAGCTGGGCTCCACTGATTGACCGAAACTTTCAGAAACAGTGGGTTTGGGAATCGGGGCTTGAGATTCTCCATGTCAAGAACCCCTCAGACTCATATGAGCCCTGGTCTAACCTCCTTACAGGGGGGATTATGTAAGGGATTATATAAGGGACTATAGGGCTTATGACGGGTGATACTAGGAGTTTAGACTACAGCTCATATTGCGGGAAGTACATATATTATATAAGGGACTACTAAAGGGCTTATGAAGGGTGATACTAGGAGTTTAGACTACAGCTCATATTACGGAAAGTACATATAGCGGGACGTAAATGGCTACCAATATCGGTTCTAGATTCTATAAGCCAAGTGTTCATTGCATTGTCAACTTTCGTGTTCGTTTGATTTCTAAATAGTGGTAACATCCCCAACCCAAAATTATACTTTCCATTTCATTTTCCATGTGATGCTCCATTATAGGTTTATCTAGGCCCCCACACCCTAAACCCTAAAACCTAAACCCTGTAGGTTGGTAATTCTGCAGCCTTCTACCTTTCGCATCCCGCTTCTAAGACAACTCACAAACTGAGGCAGCAGCAACACAGTTTTACTGGGGATGTGCTGCAAGATGTCGTTACCTTGCAGCTGCTCCTGCAGCGCGATCTTCCGGACATCAAGATGAATTCGAACGCTATTTAGGAATATGTAAGAACATATTTGTGGATATGTGAAATATAGTCAATATTTCCCTTGTGTTTAATGGACATGGGTTCCTATTGGAGGATATATTAGGGAGGACTCCAAGCGGACACTAAACTACCAGAGAGGCCTTTATGTTCACCCTTAACGGTTCCTTGATAACCCTCATATTGACTTTTCTCAACTGGTAATCTTTGGGCTTAGGCTTTCCAGCAATGGGGAGAGGGCCCGATGTTTGGAGCACTCCATAGAAAGACCCCTAATTTTTGGAAACCCAAATCCTGGTGAACCACCATGTTCTCGCAGTTTCCCTGTTAAACCTTTAACCCTTAACATATAACACTAACACTAACAATAACGATGACAAGAATGATAACCACCAAAAAAAACAATGTTATTACTAATGCTATTTTCTACTACTACTATAGCGCACTGAAACCCTAATCCCTAAACCCTAAACCCTAAACCAAAGGGACCCGCCCGCCCTAAACCCTAAACCCTAAACCCTGAACCCTAAACCATCCTCCAGCTTCTCCATGTACTCGGTGAGCCGATGTGCCCGTGCTGTCAGCGCAGCCAGCGGCACCTACGTGGAGTCTCTCTTGGTTTAGGGTTTAGGGTTTGGGTATTAGGGTATTAGGGTTTAGGGTTTAGGGTATTAGGGTATTAGGGTTTAGGGTATTAGGCTTTAGGGTATTAGGGTATTAGGGTTTAGGGTAGTAGGGTATTAGGGTTTAGGGTATTAGGGTTTCACAATTTTTGGGTACCATTTTGGGGGTCCCAATAATCAGGACCATAATATATTGGGGTCTATATTGGGGTTCCTCTATTTGGGAAACTACCATTAAATAGGTCTCTTCAGTAATTGGGGTGGCTAATCAGGTCCCGTTGAAGAGGCTACAGGGATATGCAGGGTTTAGGGCTACTTGGTTTGTGTTCGGGATTTAGGTGTTATTGCTTTAGGGTTTAGTGTTGTAAGGTTAGTAAGTCTTCAAACTATCCACAGTAACCCTGCACAAGACTTACCAAGTCAAGGGAGACTCCAAAGAGGAGTTCGAAAGGCTTGCGGAACAGCCAAAGCTACACATGCAGGCACTAAGGCAGATGGCTAGGATGGCCCCAATGGAACCAGACCCCCTAAACCCTAAACCCTTGAAGCTACTACGTTATTTTGGGGGTTAGGATTTCAGGATATTCCCCCGATAGAGAGAATCCCCTGCAACAGAAAATGGTTCATTGAAACTGGGCTTCTATGGGGCTTCATGAAGGCTACAGTGTAGAAATTTGTAGATCCCTTTCGGGGGCGCTTAAAACAGGGACCAACATTTTGATGACCTGCTACATGCATCCGGCATCCCAAATCCCTGGACCCTAAACCCTGAACGCGAAATAGTGGTTTGCATTTCATGTTCCATGATCTTTTCCATCTGATTCTCCATTATCCCCCTAAACCCAAAACCCGGAACCTTGAACCCTAAACCCTGGACCTGAAATTCCAGACCTTAAACTCTAAAACCTCAAACCCCGAAACCTTTCTAAGCCCTAAACCCTAAACCCTAAACCTAAACCCTTAGCACCTGCCCCATCTCTGCCATGATTTTGACTCGCTCCTCCACTTGCCCCAGCATAAGCGCCTCAAGGAGCCCAGGCAGGAAACAAGGGTTTAGGGTTTTAGGGTTGAGGGTTGAGGGGAGCCTCCAAAAATTGAGCGGCAATATTTAGTGGGAGTTTTATGGGGATATATTATAGAAAAAATGGTAAATGTGAATATGTAAGGCTTAGGGTTTCCAAAGATTATTGGGATATATCCCCATGTATGGAAACTCCTTCAACCCTAAACTCAGTGTCTGAGGTTCGAACGTTGTGGAAGCGAGACATGACGTCCCCTCGCATCTCAGCAATCTTCAGCATCCTGATCAGAGGGTTTAGGGTTATGGTTTGGGGTGGTCAAGACATGGTCCCATGTTGTCCCGCAATCTTCCTAGGTAGATACATTGCGCAGCACACGTGCTAGCTATGATAGGTACAGCTGCAATAAGGAGACCCTCAAATAAAAAGGGGAAAAGGGTACTACTGAGGCACCTAACAGATGATCTCAGTGGTCAGGCTCCGACAAGCAAAAAGGGATGGTTTGCGGCGGAGCTGCTTTCGCAGCTTTGTGATGTTGCCAGTGATGAGGTACAAGAAGGACAAGGCATCGAAGTTCTTGGTCTTCTGGTACACCTTGATGCAACTGCTGGGTGCAAAGGCACATGAAAAGCTAAAAGAGCAGACTGCTGTCTTTCCTGTTCTAATTTAAAGGGGCTTTGGTAACCCCAAGTAGGACCCTATAACCATCATATGATAGTCAAAGGGTCCTAATTTTGGGGGTTGGGGTTTCCAAAATCCCTTTATTGCGCTATTTGCTCCTAGCCCAGATGCCTACCTGCTCGTTTCCCGAGCCCAGTGCTCGGTGGCAAGCTTAGTCAACAGGACGGTTTCCGCAAATTAGGGGTCCTTTTTTGGAGGTCCCCATAGGTAGAAACCCTAAACCCTATACTATAATGGGGTCTATATTGGGAGCCCCCGCTTTTAAGTGGAGCCACCACATACCCCTACACAATCTCCAAACACTTGAAATTTCCGTGTTCCTTCCCATTCTCCCTATATATCCTTATATAAGCCTATATAACATTAGGGTCGAAATGGAATATTGGGGCCCCCTTTTTAGTGGAAGCCCTAAACCCTAAATCCTAAACCCCAAACTCTAAACCTAAACCCTAGACCCTAGACCGTATACTATATCAGGGTGCATTTTGTGGCCGCCCCTTTTGTCGAGACCACCATACACCCTAGGAGTGGAGGAGCCTACATCATCAGGCTGTCGCCGAGCTGAAGCATTCAGGGTAGCCCTGCCCCTTATCTACTTGGGGTTTAGGGTTTGGGGTTTGGGGTTTAGGGTTTGGGGTTCAGGGTTTAGGGTTTGAGGTTTAGGGTTTAGATTTTAGGGCTTAGGGTTTAGGGTTTAGGGTTTAAGGGTAACGTTTAGGTGGACCCCCCACTCAGTAAATGTGACTATAAGGGCTAAAAGTAATTATATGAAGGTCTCCCTGTATTCCTATTATGCCACTGTTACAGGGTGGGGGTCCACTAAAATTTTCTAGTGTTTGGATTTTAGCTACCACAACCCCTGAACTGGGACCTTGTTTTAGTCATATGATAGTTCTCGGGTCCTTATTACAGGGGTGGGGGTAATTAAAATCCCGTTGCAATCTACACACCCAAAAGCCGAAATTACAGATTTCCTTGTTCCCTACTCTCTACACACTCAACAAAGCCCCATAATCCCTGCATTTCCCTACTCTAGAATCTCAACACAATCGCCACACTATGCATCACCTGACTCCACAAAACCCTAAACCCTCAACTCCTGCATACCCCTTAACCTGAAACCCTTGAGCCTGAACCCTGAACCGTAAAGCCTAAACCCATAACCCAATCTCACGATCTCTCACTTAATGGTGTTTAGCAGGGAAGAAGGGAACATAACCCCTACGTACTCCCTGTAGGACCTTTTCCCTTATTCCCCACTAACCCCGAAACCTTGACCCTGTATATATACATACATATGGTCCCTCATTCCCAAACCCCCGGTAAGCTCACTGGGCGACCCAGCCATCTCGACAATCTGCTGGTTGCCTTGCCGGAGCGCTTCCAGACCCAGGCGATTCCAGCCTGTGGTGGGGGTTTAGGGTTTAGGGTTTGGGGTTTAGGGTTTAGGGTTTGGCGCCTATGATAACGGCGGCCTATATAGGATCCCCCAATTTCAGGACACTGAACTGAGGGTGTGGAGACATAGATTTACTCACTGGGGATTAATAGGGAATATGAGACTTTTGGGGGATTACACTCTCCTACCAGTAGGTAGATTTAGAGTGCTTAGGGTTAGGCATTAAGGGTTTAACGATTAGGGCTTAGGGTTTAGGACCTGGGGTTAGGGATTAAGGCTTCAGTGTTAGGGCTTCGGGCTTAGGGTTAGGAACGATCAAGTGCCCTGAGACTAGGGCTTCAGATTTCTCCACTTGGGGCACGATGCCAACAGTGGGGATTTTGCGGTTTAGGGTTTACGGTTTAAGGTCAAGAGTTTAGGGTTTAGGGTCTAGGGTTTAGGGTAGAGTAAATTGGGGCAAATTATGCAGAGTTTCAGAGGTATCCATCTGGGGGATCATGTGAGCGATAGTCTCAGCTCCCAGTATCCCCCCTAATAAAGCCTATAGTGGGATTCCTATATGAGCTATAGTCTAAACTCCCAGTATCCCCCTAATACACCCTGTAGCAGTCCCCAATATAATCCCCCACAGAACCCCCGTTAAGGAGTTTTCACTATGGTACATATAATCCTCAATATAGCCGGCCTTCAAAGAGTTTAGACGATGTGCATGCAAGGATTGCATGTAGGTTTGGAAGTCAGCATAGTACCACGAATCTAGAAACAGTCATGGCAGCGGTGAGCGAAATAACTGCCTGTACCAGGGTGATGAAGAGGAGGATGGCGAAGAAGCGCTGAATATGGGCCGAATTCAGACAGCCACACGCCAATCCCAGGATAATCCACATAAGCAATCCCGCAATGGCATCTGCCATCCCCAAGTGACCGTAGGTTTATAATCCCCTTTTGCAGATAGAATATGGCATTGGGTATATTATAATAAGATCCCCATATACCCCATGTTCTATCTACTTAAGGGGGACTATAACCCCAAAATATATACCCTATTATAATATAGTAGTTTCCATTTTCTTTTCCATTATCCATATGTAACCCAATAATATACCCTATATTCTATCTACTTAAGGGGGACTATAGGGTTTAGGGTTTACGGTTTAGGAAGCTGGAGCTGTGGCATCGACCCACCCAGCTTGCTAGTTCAACTATTACCCCTATACTACCCTATATATCCCTTTAAAGGGACCTAGGGTTTCCATTTTCTTTTCCATTATCCCAATATAACCCCTATATAACCCCTGATATAACCCCAAT